ATATATATATATATATATATATATATATATATATATATATATATATATATATATATATGCATGCGGAGGAAGAGGTGCGGTGGTGGTAGGGGTAATTCATGAATTTTTTTTTTGTGTGAAATTGCAATCAAGTCGCAAATTAAAGTTAAGAATTTGTTATAAATTGCAATTTGGCCTTTATTGTTTTTTTTTTTTTTTGCAATTTACTCATAAACATATATATTCAATAGAGGGGTAAAATTGTCCAAAAACTAGAACAACTGGAATAAAATGTAATAATTTAAAAAAGTCAACACGCCACAGCAGCAAAATGAATGGATTTTTAACGGCGGAGTTGTTTAATTCATTTCGAAGTTCAGAGGGTTTTTTTTATATGTTGTGTATAGTTCAAGTAGGCAAAATGAACTTTACCCTTTAGTTAATATTGATTAATCTCCCCAACCAAACGGGGCATAGGGGTGTAAAATATATTTAACTCTATTTTATTAATACAATGAAACAAGATTACATGATATAAATTGAATATGAGAAAATTAATTTAATTTCACTCGATATTTAATTATTTCCAACTATTTCATGTATTAGTACGAAGATTGAACTCGTAGTATACATATAAACATGTTTGGAAAAATAAGTTTGATTATCTTTGATCAATCCCTTGAATAGTTTGCTATTTAAGCAAACACAAGTAGGTATATATAACTATAAGATACCGATGCATTTTATTAGGGCTGTGACTTTGGGATCAGGATTCGGGATCCCGTCCCGTCCCGATTAGAATTTTACTATTTGGGATTAAAATTTCGGGAATTCGGGATTACGGGATTCGGGATCGGGATTAGGGAATTGGTTCAATCCCGATCGGGATATTTTAATCCCGAATTAGGAAAAAAGAAAAAAAAAACTAATAAAAAAACACACACACACAATATATATATATATATATATATATATATATATATATATATATATATATATATATATATATATATATATGTGTCAAGGAGATGAGAAATACAATATAATATATCGTTTCATCTTATTTTTAAAAAATTCAAATTTCATTTGTTCCAAGTTTTGTGGTAAAAATAAATAGTGCAATAATAATAGTATGTATATAATATATTCAAGTTAGTTTAATGTATAAAATAATACTAATGGAAAAAAAAAACAATATTTCTTAGTTTTTAGGCAAAATATGGGATTCCCGATCCCAATCCCGAATTCCCGAAATATTTAGGGATACCGATATTACCGGGATTTAATATTATGGAACGGGATTGGGATTTAAAATTTCTATCCCGAATCCCGAAATCCCGATCCCGAAAATCCCGAATTCCCGAAATTCCGTCCCGAACTCACCCCTACATTTTATGGTTTGCTCAATATAATAGTTATATATAATTACAAAATTAAAAAAACATGATATATGGAAATATAAATTAAAAATAAATTTATTCTGGATTTCATATGAAAAGTGAGCATAATGTATAAATTGTTTCCATCCCATGTTATATATTCAACAATTGGAAACATAAACATATATCAATAAAACTTGACAACTAACTAACTAACTTTTGTTTGAACAAAGCAAAAGATTATATCATCAGTAGAGCAAGCCGAAACCACCAGATTCGAGGCCTTCACAATATGCTGTACCTACTTTTTTTATTAGTAGCAGAATTTCGATGTCGTTTCTCCTTGGATAGTACTGCTGCCAGCCTATAATCGAAATTTCAACGAAAATAAAGTTATTATTTATTGTTTAAATCTCAACTTAATCAATAAGAATAACAATAATTAATCGAGAGTTTGTTCAATACCTAATCAACGCCTCCTTGTTTGCTCCAGCACCAGACGACGGCAAATAAGTTCTACCAAGGTCAATGCTAGAAACTGGTTTTTTTAACAGACTTTCTCCGATTTTCACAACATCTTCCAAATTCTTCTTCGTCGCAACATCCAAAGAAGACGTTACTCCACTTAAAGAATCATCCTGTCGTCATCATATAAAAATAAATATCAATATAATATATCGACTTTTAATTTATATACCTCTACGTGGAGAAAAGATAGATAAATAAACATACCTGAATTCTAAGGTAGTTGTTTTGCAGGCCAATTTCAGGCCAGTAGTCTTGATAGTAAGAAAGCCAGTCATAATCAGTCAATTTCGCCAAATACCGGCGAACTGTATTCAACACGGAACGCTTTTCAAGATCCCACACCTTTGCTTTTTTCGAGTCGTATTTGGGCGTACAAGTTCCGAGGGACAAAACAACAAGCCTTTCACAATCCTCTTCCGATCTCATCGAGGACAAAAGTAAATTTTGTTTTGGATCCTTCGATGCTACATCCACCATTGCCACCGACATCTTGAAATCGATCCCATTAACAAAACAAACAAACACTTAATTAGTATATGATCTACATATATATTATTGAATTTCAATTGTCATAAAATATATATTGAAAATGTAAAATATATACCGGATCGTTAGCAAAAACACCGCCAATGAGGTTCAATTGAAGGGGTTCTCCATTAGAATCTTTTGTTTGAAAGTGATGTGGAGGCAGATAAGTCGGAGTAGCTAAACTTCCCATGCATGCGTCTACGACTGAAGTGTCCAAACTCGGATCATCATTCCGCTCCTAATTAATTAATTAACGAGTCATATGTATATAGTGTGTTGTAATTAAATAAATAATTATAGATAAATTAAATAGGAAAATATATACACATGCATATGACACACCTGCAGATGGTTGGAGAATAAGACTAGTTTACGTCTCACTGTATCAAAACTCGGAATTATAACATCTGTTAAGGTCTCATGCAACTTTGTGTCACCAAATTTTTCCTTGAGAAGAGAGTGAAGATATTTTCCGTCGTATTTTTGCCCCAAAAAACATTTAACCATCCTTGCAGCACGAGTCAAAAAATTATTCCTGAATTAATTAAACCACAAGTACTAATTAAAATACAGAACTATTATAAAGATTTACGAGATAATTGAAAATTACAGAAACAAAGTTTTTTACCTCTTGGAGTAAATATAGGGAAAGTGCTCAATGTAGAATTCTTTGATATCTTTTGCAGCAAATAACGGACGATTATTATTTCGTTTTGGGGCAGTAAGCATTGCAGTAGTTAAGCTTCCTGTTTCTGTACCGGCAATTATATCGAAATAATCTGCAATCCTCGCGTCTTCACCATCCAATTTCTGAACATATCAAAAAAAAAAACATGCATGTAATTCTTTATTTTCTTATATTTTGTAGAATTAATAATTTATAGTTTTATTACATTGTATATGATCCTCTAACTTAAATTACCTGAAGCTCGGATTCAAGAAAAGCAAGAATAACAGCTGGAATTAGTCCTCTAACTCCGCCACCATCTATCGAAAGAACCGTAATCAATTTTCCGAAGGTTTGATCCTCAATCTCAAATACTTTCTTCGACTTTGATGCCATAACAAAAAAATAAACAAAGTAAATTCTTCTTCTAGAGAGAGAAACAAAGTGTATGAATAAACGTAAAACGAGATTGTGAGTCAAAAAAGTATGAGTTTATGTTATATATATAACAATCTGCTAATCCATAAATCTTAGTAATATAAGGAAGGAAATATTAATTAGAACTTTGTTTCCTAATATTTGATCATCCGCTTTTTTCATAAATTTGTTTCCTTTTGTTATTTTTTGACTTTTCAAATAATCTCATAATGGCAAAGTTGATGAGTACAATTATTTCCCTCTTTGTTTCTGTTGCTTCGTGCCGCTACTTTCCAAATATAAATATAATTTTTTTGTTTCCAAATTCCAATTCAACGGAAATATTTTCGGTAACAAGTTTCTTTCCTTTTGGATTTTTGGGTAATAAGTTGATTTCCTTATTTATGGTATATATGAGGCTGGGACTTGGTGGATTTTTATCCAGCAATTGAACCATTACGGATCATATTTTCAAACGGATACGGGGCGAGTCTACACTTAGCGAATGGTGGACACAAGGCCCACTCTCAATTTACAATTCCCCATATATATATATATACATATATATATATATATATATATATATATATATATATATATATATATATATATATATATATATTTAGTCTATTCAAATTTTATTAATTAACACACCCAAAATTGCAATTATTGCAACAGAAGCCCCATTTTTTTTTTATTAATTAGCCTACTCAAAATCCAAATTAATGCAAAAATGGTGTCAAATTTTATTAATTAGCCCACCCAAAATCCAAATTATTGCAAAAAAAAAAAACTCTAAAATTTGTTTTTTTTTTTCTTTTTTTTCCTTTTTCTCGTTTCTTCTTTTCCTATTTTCTAATTTTATCATAAAAAATTCTAAAAAAATTCGGGGCACTGCTCCTGCACTCCCAAAAATTTAAGCCCACTATGTACCAAATTCCTAGACTCGCCACTGAACGGATAATAAATTTTTAATCGACTTATTGGACTAGGTCGAATCTTTAGACCAACCCATTTATAATGGGTCCGTTGATGGTTCCTAATATTATAAAAATTCGATTGCCAGATAATTATCGGTCAATCAATTATATTAATAACATTTTTTTCTTTTTTCTTTATATATATATATATATATATATATATATATGCGGAGGAAGAGGTGTGGTGGTGGTAGAGGTTATTCATGAATTTTTTTTTTGTGTGAAATTGCAATCAAGTCGCAAAATAAAGTTTAGAATTTGTTATAAATTGCAATTTGGCCTTTGTTGTTTTTCTTTTTTTTTTTGGCAATTTACTCATAAACATATATATTCATAGAGGGGTAAAGTTGTCCAAAAACTAGAACAGCTGGAATAAAATGTAATAATTTAAAAAAGTCAACACGCCACAGCAGCAAAATGAATGGATTTTTAACGGCGGGGTTGTTTAATTCATTTCGAAGTTCAGGGGGGGTTTTTCATATGTTGTGTATAGTTCAAGTAGGCAAAATGAACTTTACCCTGTGGTTAATATTGTTAATATTGATTAATCTCCCAACCAAACGGGGCATAGGGGTGTAAAGTATATTTAACTCTTTTTTATTAATACAAGGGTTAATAGCATTTTGCCACCTATACTTTGCCCGTTTTTACACTTTGTCACCTTAACTAAAAAAAGTTGCACGGGCCCACCTAAACTCACTTTTTTTATGCACATAACCACCTAAAGAGAATATTCTGACGAATCTTCTCATTTTCCGGCGCACACGCGATGCACATGCTTAATGTAAGGATTTTTTGGTCATTTTCACAAAAAAAAAATTGTGGGCCCTATTTTTTTTTTAATATTGTTAATATTGATTAATCTCCCCAACCAAACGGGGCATAGGGGTGTAAAATATATTTAACTCTATTTTATTAATACAATGAAAAAAGATTACATGATATAAATTGAATATGAAAAAAATAATTTAATTTCACTCGATATTTAATTATTTCCAACTATTTCATGTATTAGTACGAAGATTGAACTCATGTAGTATACATATAAACATGTTTGGAAAAATAAGTTTGATTATCTTTGATCAATCCCTTGAATAGTTTGCTATTTAAGCAAACACAAGTAGGTATATATAACTATAAGATACCGATGCATTTTATTAGGGCTGTGACTTTGGGATCAGGATTCGGGATCCCGTCCCGTCCCGATTAGAATTTTACTATTTGGGATTAAAATTTCGGGAATTCGGGATTACGGGATTCGGGATCGGGATTAGGGAATTGGTTCAATCCCGATCGGGATATTTTAATCCCGAATTAGGAAAAAAGAAAAAAAAAACTTTTCAAAAATTATTAAAATGGAGGTATATATATATATATATATATATATATATATATATATGTAATATTAAGGAAGTTAGAGTATAATGGGTGAAATTGATAAAAATATATTATGGAGGGTATTTTAGAGTAAAGACATGGTGATGGGTTTATTTGAAAGATTGTTGTTTATGTGGACCAATGTGCATTTAAGTCCCTTGTCATGACCCTAATTATTAATTATTATTAATTGTTACTTAAGTGTTAGTTATGGGGGTTTTTATGTAATTTCACTTATAAGGTAGGTATCGTACTTTTTTTGTGGGGTTCGTACAAATCATACGTGTCACATTTTTATTGGTTGATTTTCAATCGTTTTGGTCCGAGTAGTACAACCCCTCTCGGACCCTAGACAACCCCAACAAAGTAGGTATATATAACTATAAGATACCGATGCATTTTATGGTTGGCTCAATATAATAGTTATGTATAATTACAAAATTAAAAAAAAAAAGATATATGGAAATATAAATTAAAAATAAATTTATTCTGGATTTCATATGAAAAGTCAGCATAATGTATAAATTGTTATATATACAACAATTGGAAACATAAACATAGCAATAAAACTTGACAACTAACTAACTTTTGTTTGAACAAAGCAAAAGATGATATCATCATCAAGCATAGATTCGAGACCTTCACCATAAGCTGAACCTACTTTTTTTATTAGTAGCAGAATTTCGATGTCGCTTCTCCTTGGATAGTACTGCTGCCAGCCTATAATCGAAATTTCAACGAAAATAAAGTTATTATTTATTGTTTAAATCTCAACTTAATCAATAAGAATAACAATAAATCGAAAAAAGAGTGATAGACTTTGTTCAATACCTAATCAATGCCTCCTTGTGTGCTCCCTCACCAGACGATGGCAAATAAATTCTACTATCAAGGTAAATGCTAGAAACCGGTTTTTCCAACAAACTTTCTCCAATTTTCACAACGTCTTCCAAATTCTTCTTCGTCGCAACATCCAAAGAAGACGTTACTCCACTTAAAGAATCATCCCATAAGCGTATAAAAAAATCTGCGTAAACGAAAAATACTTACTTGTTTGTCGAAAGGAGGAATTGTGAAAACACAAAGAACGATCGAGGCTTGCCAAAGCAATTCCCTTAAGACAATATTTCCGGGCTGTCAATGGTGCACAATCTCTTCCCGGTAGTCTCCCAAGGTACAACGATCGGTTGTCAAATATTTGCACGAATATTCGACCCACGGCGAACTTGAACAACGAACAAAACTTTGACGAAAAAGAAGAATATGAAGAACTATCTCTTAAGTGCCGATTAAATTTAGTACATAATTGGCCAGATTCTGCCTTTATTTATAGGTTGTAGAGATCCATTCAAATTAATGCAACATAAGCCCCATTAAGAAAGAATAAAATATTTATATGATTTAATAATTTTAAATTTCATACAAACTTGTAAAACATAGGGCAATTTTTAAAAAAATATACTAGTCAAAAACTTGTATAATAAAACCTTGTTTTACACACGACGTTTTCCAACATAATAAGTTCTTACAACTCTTACCACAAAATGCAAATAAACCATATAAACTAAAGATTATTAATATAAATGTAGTAGCTTAGTTCTTGCCGATAACGGCTACGTTCGCCTTACATAGACCGTCACATAGGTACCCTTTTCCGACGTAGAACCCTCCTTTGGTTATCACATTTTTTTCCGACTCAGAAGCCAACTTGAAACCTTTCTTGGTTAGGATAGAACCACTGATTAAGTTCTTCCTAATATCCGGAAAGTGTAGCACATCGTTCAAGGTATAACTTCCATTCCGGAAGTGAATTTTAGGATCACTTGTCCTTGTCCTTCAACCACCGAATAAGCATCATTTCCCATGAAGAGCTTTTGTTCTTGTTCAAACTTTTTATAGGAGGAGAACATGCTCTTGTCATAGCAAATGTGAAGGTTGCCCCGGTGTCTACCCACCATCCTCGAGTATCGCTCAATAGGTAGGCCTCTGTTACAACTGCCGAAAAGTGCATGTTGTCGTTCTCAGAAGCGGCTAAGTTAATGGTCATGACATTCGCTTCATTTTTATTATTTTCTTTGCGGTGGCGCCAATCCTTTGCAAGATGTCCATTCTTTCCACAAACGAAACACGCCCCCGTGAACCTCTTGTTGATCTTCTTGTTATTTGGTCATTTGTTGAATGTAAGACCCTTTCGCTTGTTGCTCTGTTTCGAGCTCTCCACTACGTGTGCCTTAGCCACAAATTGATCACCCTTGTCGGTAATTTTATTATCCTCCTCGGTCTTGAGCCTTGCTATGAGTTCCACCATCGTGCATTTGGCAACCGATTTTTGTGTGCTTTAGGTAGTCTTTGAACTCCGTCCAACTCGGTGGAAGTTTTCCAATTATGGAAGCCACTTGATAGGATTCGCTCACGTCATGACCCTCGGCGAGAATATCGTAGATCATGAGTTGGAGTTCATTCACTTGCTCACTCACAGTTTTGCTATCGACAATTCGATAAAATTAGAATTTGTCTACTATGAATTTCCTATATCCCGCATCTTCAGACTTGTATTTCTTGGACAAACTATCCCACAAAAGTTTAGCAGTCTTTATAGGACTATAAACTTTGTACAATGGT